TCATATCACCTCTTCAATTGTGATATGGATTTGGCTTTTTTAAATTCAAATTTGGCTAATTAAGCAGCGTCCTGCCCACCTCCCACCCAGCTTCTGTGAGGCACACCTATCTTCAGCAAGGGCTGCATGTAGTGGGATCAGCAGAGAGGCAGTAGCAAGAAGGGATGCTAAAATCAGGCTGCTCTATGGCAAGGAAACAAAATACACAGCCAGAGCTTGTCCCTAGTAATATTCAGAGCTACAAGGTCAGACAGAAGGGAGGAGGAAAACAACGGGACTTGATGGAAAGTAGCAAGATGTAAAGAAGTTGAGTATTATCCCCTGGACTCAGCACTGGTGAGGCCACACCTTGAATCCTGTGCTCAGCTCTGGGCCCCTCAGGTCAGGAGGGATATTGAGGTGCAGGAGCAGGTCCAGAGAAGAGCAATGAGGCTGGTGAAGGGACTGGAGCACAACTGCTATGAGGAGAGGCTGAGGGAGCTGGGGTTGTTTAGCCTGGAGAAGAGGAGGCTCAGGGGAGACCTTATCACCCTCTACAACACTGACAGGAGGTTGGAGTCAGGTAGGGGTTGGTCTCTTCTCCCAGGCAACCAGCAGGAGGACAAGAGGGCACAGACAAGCTCTGCCAGGGGAGGTTTAGGTTGGATATTAGGATAAGATTTTTTTCTGGAGAGAGTAATCAGATTGGAATGTGCTGCCCAGGGAGGTGGTGGATTCACTGTTCCTGGAGGTTTTCAAGATGAGACTAGATGTGGCACTTAGTGCCATGGTCAAGTAACCACGGTAGGGTTGGACTTGATGATCTTGGAGGTCTTTTCTAACCTGGTTGATTCTATGATTCTGTGTTTTGCCTCCTGCCTGAGTATGCTGGAGAAAAATGTTTTCAAAGACACTCTGGTTTTGTGTGGACATTCCCTGTTCATTTATTCCAGTGAGATAAATTGACCCTGATTACTTTGCTGTATGAACATGACTTTTCTACAGTGCCTTCTGGAGTTTTTGGCCACATTGTTGACACTGGGTAATATAACATGAAAGGATTGTGGATGGGCTTGTACAAAGAAGTCAGCTAAATAGGTGTTAGAGGATAAAAAGCAATCCCATGGACAGGATTACACATCTTTAAAATGCTGATAGCATCAAGCAGCAAATGGTTTTGTAATTTAATGGCAGAAGAGATAAGACTTCAGATGTCTGTTTTTTTCACAATTGATAGATTAGAGCATCTGCAGTTGGCATGCAAGAGTTGGATAAAGCTATAGCATGTTGCCTTTGGATATCAGCATTCACCTTTACTGCAGCTAGTAATTGTTCCACATGAAGAGAATTCTTCTGGTCAATATTTTTATTAGAACTTTAATTTCCAGGGTGATCAGCTGGATCATTGTCTGCTTGAAAGGCTGGTAATGACACATTGAGAAGCTTTAATGAAAACTTTTGTCTAGACAGAAACAGCTTAATAATGTGTTTGAAATGTGACATTCAGTTTAAACCTTTGTTGATGCCTGTAGGAAACACTGATCCATATTAGGGAAATCTTGTTCTCTGCCTCCTTGTGCTAAAATTGTGCAAGAAGTTTATGTGACAACAGGAACTGTGAGAAATGGCACCTTGACCTGGCTCAAGCAGAGTGTGGCAGCAGGACTAGGGCAGTGCTCATCCCCCTGGACTCGGAACTGAGGTCACAGCTCAGTGCTGTGCTCAGGTTTAGGCACTCACGGCCAAAAGGCTATTGAGGCACTGGAGCGAGTCCAGCCAAGGGCAATGAGGGCAGCAAAGGGCTAGAGCACATGGGGAAGGGCTGAGGGAGTTGGGCTTGGTTAGCCTGGAGAAGAGGCTCAGGGGTGACCTCATGGCTCTCTCCAACTCCCTGACAGGGCTGGAGAGAGGTGGGGGATGTCTGTCCTGCCATGGCTGCAGGGAGAGGACTAGAGGGGATAGTCATAAGTTGAGACAGGGGAGAGTCAGATTAGATGTTAGGAGAAATTTTTTCTCTGTTGTGTCCAGGCTCTGGAAGAGATTGCCCAGGGAGGTGGTGGAGTCACCATCCCTGGAAGTGTTTAAGAGGCATCTGGATCTGGCACTGGAGGATATGGTTTAGAGTTTAACACCAGTGGCAGGTTAGTGGTTGGACTTGATGATCTTAGAGGTCTCCTCCAACCCTGATGGTTCTAAATAAAAATATATAACTTTCCTCAGCAGAGTGGTTCAACCTGTGATAGATTTTAAAAACAGAAAGAATTTCCTTTTCATCCAGAAATTAGTTTTTCTATAAAACTGAATTAAAATACATGTGACATCCTAGTTTTTGCATCTTCAGCATTGAGGTTGCATTGGGAGGTATTTTAAATACATCTCCAGAACAGTTAAGGAACAATCTGAAAAAAAAGTGTTTACACTTGAAATGTGGAATTTTAACCAATCTCCTTGACTTGAGGTCCAAAGGCCTTTTCCAGAACATCATTTCACAAAATCCAGTGGGTTTTTTCTGACTGCAGAATATTAAGGATATGCAACAAATCAACTCGTCCCACCTAGTTGTGCAGCAGATCAGCCTGTGCCTTACATGGGAAGAGATATCCTCACACAGTGACAGCTAAGCACACGCCCAGAGTAGGAAGCTTCCCAGTCCTTTAGACTCCTGTTGAGGAACATCCCAAACGAGAGATGAAGCTGAGAGGAGACAGAGTCACAGCCTAGTTCACTTTTCCAACCAACTGATTATGGAGAATGTGGCATGCTGCACTATCTAGGATTTGGGAATCAGAGGATTGAGGTTCCTGGATATATCTCTGTAGTGGTCAAACCTCTGTGACATAAGATAAGAAATAGACCCTTCTGACATAAGGGTCTTTTTGATGCGTCCTGCCCAGGAAGTAACAATCATTCTGGCAATTGTTATTTTTATTGGTTTGGTTTGATTTGGCTACTCATTGTCATTATATGCACATTAACTGCTTTGCATCTTCAGAGTGTTTGACTGTGGTTCACAGAATTTGCCTCTGGTACTCTGAGAAAGTTTTTCATAGGTAACACAGATTTAATCTCTGCTGTGAGGGGCAAAATGCAATTCAGGCTTAGTGACACAATTACCAGCAGCAACACCACACTTCTAGAAATCTCAAAACTGAGTCAGAGAGAGAGAGAGATTGAATCTCTTGCCAGAGATTGCAAAGAAAAGAAAAAAAGACAAAACCCAATGGATCCTCATCAGACATTTGGATGTCTACCTTGCCATCCTCTCCTTTCTTGGTTAAGAAATACAAACACTTGTGCATCCAGAAATGAGTGCATTGACTCTGGATCTGAACTGACCAGGTAACTAGAGCTCTACTTGTTGTGTCCAAGAAACAGCCTCTGCAAAGGAACAACCTTTAGAAAAACAGAAGAGTCATTGGAAAAACTGTAAAGAATAAAGGACAACACCTGTGTCTGCCTTGGACACAACAGCTAAATGTGTACCAGTGTTGAGGGTAGTCCTCTGGAAAGTGTTCTTATACCAAATCATTTTATCAGATGCCCACAGGACCACCCTGCTCCTTATCTAGATTTAAGAATCTAGAGTAAAAACTTTGTTTCACAGGTAGCAGTTCATCTTTCCTTCCTTTCCATTTCCTCAACTCATCCCTGATAACTCATGACTCCTGCAACCAGCGCTGTCCCATTTGTTACCAACTGAAAGTGAAAAAGCCACAGCCAGGATTAATTTTTTTATTTACATGAAATTTATGGACACATTTTTGAGGTATTTGATCAGTATTTGTTCTTATTTACACACAAATATTTTTTCAGGTGCTCAGTCAGCTTGACATGAAGGAAAGACAAAAGGATACAAAACCATGAGGCCAAAAATGCACAAGTTTGAAAGGTCTGTGGAAAGTGCATGGGCAAAAAGTTTCCCCTGTAATCAGAATGGCATTTACTCACATAGATAAATGTCATGGAGACAGGAAGATTTTAGAGCGATTTGGAGACACAGTCCAAATGGAAGGTTTTACATAGGTTTGAGATAATAATAGTCAAAGGTGTATTCTTTGAAAAAGTAACACAATATTCTAAACAAAAGGAGAAATACCTACATTTTCAGGCAGATATAAACTGATCTATTCAGTGTTTCCCTTTGTGTACACACCAGTGTCTAATCACTACATTATATCTCTAAGCATATAATTTCTGACCTGCCAAAAAAACACACCATTAAGATTCTTTTGTCCATGAATTCAGATTCCAGAAAGAAACAGGAAAAAAGCTGGCAACACTTTTTCAGCATCATGAGTGAAGCTTTGCTATTGAAGGTGCAGTTTTACAAAACTGTTTCCTTCTTCCTAGCATTGACTAGCATGAGTGTGTCAGATTTTTCTTTTCCTGAAAATTTTCCATAGAACAATCAACAAATAGCCAATGCCCAATGTGTGAGCAGCTTCTTTCACTTCAGAAGATGCCATAAAAGAAATTAATTCCCAAATGGAGCTTTATTCATGTTTTTTATATTGTCATTTCAGAAACAGAAGTATTTCTGTAAGCTTTCTAAAATTTTTAAGGAAAGACATTTTATTTTACCTTTCCCAGCCCAAGTGCTTGCAACGCATCTCAGGTGAGCAGCCAGGAAAAAGAGAAAATAAAACCTGCTGGACAAAGCAGGAGAAAGGGAAGGGGGAAATTCCTGAAATGGATTTCTCTGGTTTTACTGTCTCATCAAGCAAAAGGCAAAAGAAAATAGAATATAATAAAAGCTGAGTGAAAAGTAGAATGCAAATGTTGCTTCAGTTTAACAGCCCAAGTAACACAGCTGAGGCAACCTGGGAGAGATCTGTTTGCGTACAAAACATCCTCAGGTTTTGTATGGTCAATACTTAAAGTCTTTCAACAGATTGAAAATACCTTTTTTTCCTTGGCTGTTTTTCCTTTCCCTGGTATTAATTTTCATCTGCAGAAAAATCCCCAGGGTTGTAAATTGTTTTTCAGCCAAACTTGAAGCTTTCTGTCTCCAGAGAGGAGACCTAGCTGCCAGTCTCCTCAAATTCACTGTAGGGGGACGAAGCTGAAGACATTTCAGACTCTCCATCACTGTTGCACTCCTGCAGGGGACAAGGACTGGGAGCTTCTGAGAGCTCCTTGGCAGACAGCGTTTCCTTACTGTTAGAGCCTAAGGGATGGCAGTCCAGCAAGCTCTGCAGGTATTTGATGTAGCTGATTGCAGCTCTCAGGGTCTCCACTTTGCTGAGGCGCTTGTCAGCAAATTCCTTGGGCAGGTGCTCTCTCAGGCGTGTGTAGCCCTCGTTCACACAGCGCACCCGCTGCCTCTCCCTCTCATTCCTCTTTTGAATGAAGGCAGGCTCAAAGGAATAGTCATAGATGCCCACATAGCCAGGGAATGGGATGTAGATGTGATCCTTGTGCCCACTATAGGCTTGCTCCCAGTAAGATGGGTCCAGATGGAAGGGAACCCTGAAGGGCTCTCTCAAGGCTATCCCATGGCTGTTAGTCAGGGACACAGCTCCTGGAAATGCAATCCTGGTCAAAAGTCTATCATCATCTTTCTTGCTGTCCATGCTTCTGGGGTTTTTTTCTCACCAGTAGAATTTTAGCTCCTGATTTTGGCTTCCAGTGTATTAATCCAACATTTGTAGAGGTACTCTGCCCCATAGGCTATGGTTTCCTCCTGTGGTGCATCAAAACTCAAAGCACAGCTAACAACTCATGAGGTCCACTTCGTGCCTGGAAATCAGCTCTAAGCCTTGTTGTTTTTATAGATACAGGATGCCAGCTGATGTACAGACAGGTTTTGAGGACCATCACTCCACACTTTCAACCCTTCTTTTCCTCTGATCTTCATATTACAAAAGATAATAAGAGGATTCCTGTGTATTCCTTTTCTCTCCACTTGAAATTATGACCATAAGAGTTAATGCCAAACATAAATAATCTTCCAGGCTCTAAACACTTCTCATGTATTGTAATCCACGATATCGTTTGATATAATTGTCTCAAAAAGATGGGTAATTTGCAAAGTTTACAGGGATCTTCAAAGTTTTGGCAGAACTCCTCCCTTTCAGGAACCAAGGATCTTCTGTCATCTGAAAACTACCCAAAGGCTTTTCATAATGAAACCCAAAAGACAACTGCAAGCTTTGTTGTTTCAGCTGCTCTGGTCTGACTGAAACAGCTCACGAGCAGTTTGCGAACCTTATATGACATCT